CGCACCATGCGAATCATACGCCTGACCCGGTTGGTGCGGATGATGCGCGCCATGCGCTTTTTTCGAGGCCTGGGTTTGATGAAGAAGTGGCAGATTCAGGGGTAGACCGCTTTGCCTGAGACAGCCTGACAAAGCAAACGCCTTCTTTATGGTTCATTAGCGCCTGGGGCCCTTGCGAGTTTTATGGCATTTGCTTGGCCTTGCAAGTTCGATACCTTTGCTCATGGTAGATCATTGTGTTTGGCTTGTCAGAATGGCAATTAAGTGAGTGGCCTTTCCCTTGCCAGGCTTGAGAACTCTCATCTACTCTATTTTCTACACGCTGAAGGCCCTGGTTTGGTCACTGATCCTACTGTTGCTGATGATTTATGTGCCTCTCGGCCTGTGAGGCATTTGGTTGGGGAAAGCTCTGAGGGCACGAATTGATGTTTCATGACATTCGCTCATGCAGTTCATGAGCGCCTGACCCAACCTGGGTTGCACAGCAAATTGGTTGAGGATGAAAATCGCTTGAGCAATCGGAGCGCTTCTTGGGGTAGCGGAGGTGGGATGGTCAGGGATGGCCTTCCAGACACCTGAGGATTGGCATCCTGCTGACCGACGCGGTGATTGCTCATGTGGTGCAATTTGACGGCCCAGAAATGAATCTTGCCAAGACTGCAAGGCAACTAATAAGAGCGTCTTTGGCAGGGTTGTCCATTCAATCATTCATTTGCCCAAGAAAAACTGCCGCACAACGACACAGGTCGCCTGGGCATTTCGAAGGGTTGGCTGCCAGTGAATCACCCACGCCGGCCAGTATTTTGCTCTTCCCAGGCTTTGTCCCTTTCAGGATTTTTTACTTAGCACAGCTTTGAGCGGTCCATCATTGTTTGTGCGGCACAGGTCCTGGACCAATGGTTTCCCCTAAATGAAATGATTGTGGTGGCAGAGTCCGTGGCCCACGTTTCTTGGAACTCTGAACGCTAACATTTCGGGGGGGGGGGGGGTGCAGGGGTCATCAAATTTGTTCTTCAGCGATGCGGCGCTACAGTATTATTTTGGGGTGTTAGGGGTGCTTGACAGGGGTGTTTCCTTGAACGATGACCACTCTCATTTTCGGGCTACGCAGACCATGGTCCTTGACCGGTGTTCCCTTGGACGATAAACTAAACACCGTCATTTTTGGGTGGCAGGGTTATGAATCGATGAACTACGGCTATCACTTTGGGGTTTGACTGAGGTGTTTCCTCGAGCGATGAAAGCAATCATGTCGGGGTGGCAAGGGCCCTTGCCCGGCGCCTTTTTTAATCAGGATTAAAAGGTAAGCTCCAGCGCCTCAAACTCAAGAGTCTCAGATTGTACCGGTTGAAAGCGTGTGGACATCAAATCGTATAGAAGTGCTTGAAGCTACCCCTCAACCCACGGTGTTATCCTCCACTTTATACCTGCACTTGCTATGACTTGATATTTTCCTTACTTGTGCCATGCCTGTGTTATGTGATTTAGCTCAGTGCACTTATCGCCCAAGATCCTCTCAGAGTGGTGGATGCTGCCGCACTCATGACGTGGACCGGAAAACTCTCGCTTGGGACCGGCGATCATGTGGCGTCTAAAAATTGCAGCCGTGGGGATGGGGCATGTTGCTCGGATTCAGGACTTGGTGTATGTCCCTTGCTTTTCCACAAGAACGATAATTACCTGTTTAATTAAAGGGTACTTGTCGCTGGTATTGGTTGAAAAGCCAACTGGAAGAACAGCTAGAATGGGGAGTTCGCCTATTTTAAGGCAAGCCCGTATCAGAACGCCTTTTGCGCTTCAGCCCGGCCTCGGCAAGTGGCATTTGCCGAGGATCCCAGCGGAGTCACAGGACGCGGTGCTCTTTGCCCAGTTCGGATCTTTGCCCCGGAGCTGCACCCGGGGTCCTCCAGCCTCATGTTGACAGGTCCTCGAACATTTCTCTTCGGGCAAGGGGGGGGGCAACTAAAATGTGCTTTCTTGGCGGGGTGATGTTTACAAGGGATATATTCGGAGCCTGTTTGACGCCTGATTGAAGTAACACCCTGTGTCATTATTTGTTTTATATTTAAATTATTGCTTGCCATTGCTCAGAGGACATCACTCTTGCAAGTATTGAGGGCCAACATGCATGCGATTTGGTTAAGTGTCATTGTTCTTTTGTTTCTGTGGGCGGGTTGGGGCCGAACACCCAGGTTGGGCAAAATTGGTTGAGGACACCTTGCAAGGAATGTGTTCCAATCACAGTGGGTCTCAACTTGTTTAATTCTGACAAGCCCCGGCCACCCTTGGCGGAACACGCGAAAAATCACTGGAGTTTGTGGGCATTCGGAGTTGGTTCCGAAAGCGCGGAAAAGGGCTGTTTTGTGGCCAGCTTACTTCAATTCCAACCTGTTGACTTGTTGTGAAGACGACTTCAAAGGTGTGCAAGCTTCGACTTGTATTTCAACCACTTGAGCTACCACTAAAATTCGTACAAGGGATGCGAATTGCAGCAGAATAGGTAAACAATTCCAAAACCGATGGCGAGTCTTTAAAGCCAAGGATTTAATGCTATTCCAGTTTGGCACCAAAGGGTTTGGGCGGCTCACGTGGACGAGGGGACCTTTGAGGCATCTCTCCATGCACAGCTTGTTCCGCGCCATCACCGGCGGGGTGGACTGGGCAGCGAGCGCGCAGGCCGGGCAGGGATCCAGCGCCGTTCGGGCGAGGGCCTATTCAACGGGCCGCTGTCAACGGGTGATTTGTGACGATTCGAGCTTTCGCCAAGTGGAAAAAAAGGCGTGTAGCATCCTACCACTTTGTTAGTACCCGTTTAGGGTCACCCAACGCCTGGGGAGCATTTGTATTTGTAGGAGAGCGGGACCCTTCTTTCCAGAAAGGCACCGAGAGAACCAAAGGCAGCGGGCCGGATTTTAAAGAAGGATGGTTGCCTAGGGGCCTAGAGCAACCACAATTTCTATTTTTCCTAAAAGGAAACCGGAAGGGCATGAATAGTTGCCGTTCTGTTCCAATTATTTGACGCCTGGAGGCCTTAGCATCCATCCATTGGCGCCTCGATTTGCAGCGAGAGGGGACGAACGGCGCGATGGAAGGGCGGAGCTTGGAAGTTTTGAGGCAAGGCTCTGCAGGGTGCCGTGCAAGGGTCATTTTGGAGGTTTTTTAAAGTGCGGGCTGGGAAATCTCTCCTGCAAGTCTTTCCAAGTCTTTGGGTGCTTTGGTCAAGTTTACAGTGGTTTCATCAGGTCAACGTAGACTCTAGACTCTAGACTCCGACCATTTGAGAAATGCGATGGGTTTTTTCACAATGTTCTGTTTCGAAGTGGCTATTCCCTCACAAGCTTCCTGGGTTCCTTGATCGTGGCGGCTAAGCATATCTGCTCAGAGGTTGGAAGCTAGATCCAGGCCGAAGGCACGCATCGGTGACCTGTTCTCCAAATAATGCTTGTAGCAACTGATGATTGACCCCAAGGAGAATCCCGACACCAAGTTCCATAGATATTTGATGAGAGTTGCTTGGGATTCTGAGATGAAGAAATGTCCTCTTACATTTGCCTCATATTTGCAGATATACATCATGTGGCTCTTTAATGAACAACTTGCACATCAGGCTCGAAGCTTGGGAAAGTTCAGGGTGCGATTTCAAGCGGTCAACACCTCCAGCATCGGCAGTGTCATGTCATGCGCTGATTTCAATATTTAAAGTCGTCGACACCCCCATGTATTATCAGCATTTTAGCAAAGACAAACGCTGTTCCGCTTTCCAAAAGGTGAAATAGTTGACACGCCCAGAATCACCAAGTAAGAACATGCTTGTCCGTTTACTAAAAGTAGATGTCGCGACTTCCAAACATGACTTTTGAGAGTCCTCTTTACACGGTCTGCTTTGGACAGTCTTTGTTGGCTAAAGTAGACAAAGTGGTTGACATCCCCAGCATCACATGCTTTAGTAAAGAAATACTTTTGGGAGTCCTCTTTACACAGTCTGCTTTGGACAGTCTTTGTTGGCAAAAGTGGATAAATTGGTCGACATCCCCAGCATCACCAGCATTTGTGTAAACATTACGCTTTTGCCGCTTACGAAAGATTCCGCGATAGTTTGTAGATAAAGTAGTCGACAAAATGCTGTTCGGAACGCACCACAGTTGCAATCCTAGGACGGTTCAGTGTCGGCAAGTGCGAATTAGGTTGAGGGGACTTGAATCGTTTGGAGTTTGAATCTTTTTGCAAAGTATTTTGATATGGCAAGGGGGCCTTGTGTCAGTCCATGGGGTGTTCACCAAAAGCACGGCGCCGCATCTCCGTAGCGTTGCCAAGCTGAGGGTATGGGCCTACGTGTTCTCAGCTGCTTGTACGCACTTGGAAAAGCATCCAAAGAAATGTTTGATTGGTGTAGGGGAGGTTTGATCTTTGTGCATTCACAGTTGGAGGGGAAGACTATGCTGAAAGGAACTGGAGCCTCGGTTCCTGTAGTTGGGGATTGCAACGCAGGGGTTTGAAGAACAGGGCTTGGGAACTTGGTGTGCGCTCAATTGCCGCATGGGCAATTAGGCATCATGCTATATACTTGGACATTGCGTCCTTTGCCTGTTGAAGTTGATGGCCAGCTTTGGTTGCCAACCATTGCCTAAGCTTGACCGTTCTGATGCTTTTGGGCAGCCGTGTAGTTTGTAAGCATGTGACAGCCTGTGCATGCACGGCACTATGATGTGCACGTCCATCCGCGAAGTATTGCGCGATACTGCTTTCTGTTTCCCGCAGACCCGCACGCACACAGTGCATGACACTGACGAATATTCGAGAGTCTCAACTTAGAATTGCTTCTCAACATGTCCATTCTGAATCACATTCACCTGTTTAAAAAATCAAAAAAAACTGAGGCTTACATAGCATTCAGCGTGTTTGCGGTGCTGAACGTCATGACAGGCCTTCGCAGCATGCCGACATGCAGCGGGCGATCGGGGATGATGGGGCCTTTGTGTTGGCAAGAAAATGAGGCAGAGCCAGCCACAGCCTGTCAGACCAAGCCTAAAACGAGTAGCCTCAACAAAAACTACATACCCTCCATTCATCAAGAAGAGGTGAAATGATCCAAGATCCATGGGCCCAAAAAACTGTCACTGAGTGCCTTTGCAAAATACCACATGCGCTCGAATATGTTACAGCTACATCAAGGTAGAAGGGGGCACCAGGAAGAGTCCACACAGGGGCAAGTAGTTGGGCCCGTAGACAGGAACCGAAATTCAATTTGAGGATCCTACATAAACTGGGGATGCGTGAATAGGGGTTCCTCCCCATATGTTACCTACCATGGGTAACGCCAAAAAGTGACACCAGCCCATCCATGCATCGCGAAACTCAACCTTCATCCTGGATGGCATGAAAGGAGTGAGTCTACCCGACATCATGCCGATAATATCGCAAGCTTCTAGAAGACCCATGCGACTTGCGTTTTCGTGATTGCCGTTTCTGGTTTGGTAGAACTGACACAGCGCCGACTGAAGGTATCAGGGTTCCTTGAGGATTCTCCGCAGCTGTTTACAGACATTCCTTTATATTTATGTGCTGATTGATGCAGACGCTTGCCCCGAGACCGGCAGACCTGGGGAGAAATGCTACCCACAATCATGCTTCACATCATGGATCTGCACAAAGCTCACCATGGCAAAGATCCATTCCTTGGGGATCCCTTACTTCAGGCTTGGGACATATTATGATTTTTGCAGATGGATGGTTCTTTGAGCAAGATATTGGCAGTGCAAGGCAGGCACAGGCAATCACGACACATCACGAGTTCCGAATTCCGAGCCTCAAATCTGGATGCGGATGGCGCGCCATGGCTCGTTTCCGCGGCAGAGCATCGGTACCCGAGAAGGCAGCCAATGGCGCTGAGTGGAAGTTGGTTTCTGGAGATGACAACGATCCGCAGTCCAATGTGCGCGTGGCAAGCTGCCACCACATTTGGCAGGAGAAAATCATGTGGCACGGATTTGTGCGGAATTGTCAAGAGAACAACATACTGTTGCTATTTGAAGTCAGTTGTGCACGCTGAAATAGCGCCATGCTTCGTCCACTTTCCCTTGCGTATTTTTGTACGGCTGGATGTGGTGCTTGAGTGGTGCTGCAAGCCACATACTATAGGCAGGCTTGTCACCAGAGGCACGGCGTAGATGAATCAGTGTGATTGAATCAGTATGATAGAGAGCCTTTGCTGGAGTATCAGCCTGCAGTTTTGGTTTGGGCGAGCTCGAGCATTTTGTGATATGTGTGATGCGTCTTCTCGTTGCATGCCCAGTCCAGTGTGGTTGTTGGAAAGTAGTTGGGTTCCACCTCATGTTCTTGGTGTCACAGCTTATGTTGGAAGCTGTCAGCAGTTCCGGCAGTGCTACTGCTGATAGCTCAGAAGACGCGAAGGGGCCAAATGCCCGTGATGAACTGCAGCTTCCGGTTTTCAGATTTGTGCCTGGGCCCCCCCTTCCTCCCCGAAAAGGGGGGCTGGAACTCATGCCTCACCCGCAGGAGATGGTGGCTGCACGCAGCCCGCAGAGCTTCCAAGATCCCGAGTTCCCGGCCGGGCCAAGGGCGGTGGATGGCAAGCGCGAGGACAGGTTTTGGTGCTGGGCGGGGGAAAAGTGGTCGAGCATAACATACAAAAGTACATAGAGATTGTATATATTTTTGTAAACACGACTCGACTCGAAACTCCAAACATGGGCAGTCATCAACAAAAGTGCTCTTTTGCACAGGGACGGACAAGTACACTGTTCAAGGCCGGCAGCTCCAAAACACGCACACGACAAAGACATATGATTGTCTTGACTGCCCAAAGCTCCAAAACCTGCACAGGGGCAAAGGCAAACAGCTGCTAAAATTCTGGAGGAATCAGAAGGTCGCAGCCGAGTCTTGCTGGGATGCCTTGTTTTGCTTGGTTTTGGAGCTTTAGTCCTCCAAACCTGTGCACGGTTTGGAGCTTCGAGCTGTCAAGAAGTGCACTTGTTTTGGTCCCTGTGCACGTTTGGGAGCTTTGAGACGCAGGGGCAGGCAAAGTACACCTTTGGAGGACTGAAAGACTAAGCAGATATGCTCACTCCCCCTTCCACAAAACACATGCAACTCATAGCATATGACGGCTAAAAGGCGGGCTTTTGGGGACGGGACGGGCTGAGAATATATTTCTCTATGTATTTACCAATTTATATACTTGCGTATTAATAAGATGGATCTATCTTTCACACCTCGCACCCATATACTATATGATACACCATACACACATGCCAGATCACGACATTTTGTTTTATTTATCTTGATTTGTTCAGTTGCGCCCACTTGACATCAGTGCCCGTTTCCTGCATCGTGCCGCTGAGGACACTGCGGCAGGGGGCGACTTCTTCCGGGCAACGTTGAGCGAGGTCAGCAAGGTGACAGCGTCAGAGGCAGGGATTGTTCCGGTATAAGCTGCAGCGAGCCGCTACAAAGTAGAAGCAATCCCACCTCCAAGTCGGCGCGATAGACGTTGTTGAGCAGGGAGCGAACTTGGCAGATGGGGTCGCAGAGACTGCGTTAGCGCCCCTACAAACGAGCCAACTCAAACGCATTATTGCCAGGAGGGTCTTCTATGCCACTGTGGGCAGCCTGCGCAACTACGGCGCGTGCAGAAGAGCGGGCCAACATTCGGCCGGCCGTACTACGCATGTCCTTCCAGGCGAGCTGGCTGGTTCGCATGCCTCGACATGGGCCACGAGCGAATCCCTGCTGTCTAACAAAAGATATACCGTCCAATGATGAACATTTGTTGGGAAGAAGCATTGGTCGTGTTCTAGGGCTAGGAGGTCCCAAACGTTCCCACTTGAGTCCTTGCGAAAATGGGGCTCTCCTTTATCCAGGCACAAAATCGGCAAAGTGGTATATAACACATATTCAGTCTTTTAAGTACGAGACATGGATTTTGCGATTTACACGACATGGTTTTCTTTTTTGGGGGGGAAATATAGCCTAGTTTAGGGTGGTTTTGTTTTGTTTTGGGCAAGGCATGTATTGAATGATCACGTGACTTTCAGGACTGTAAAAATAAATTGGAAACGAGATGGCGAAGCCTCAAGTTGGTACATCCTTTGGCACCACTTTTCTCAACAACATGTTAAACCACCATGAGTGGCTTAGAGTACACACGCACAATGTACAGATACCAACACATATAGTGTCATATATAGCGTGCGTTCTCTGAAGCATATGATTTATTGTTGTTTGTTGGCTTTAAACGGAATCTATCACTACTGGAGTATTTGCCCAGGGGACTTAAACAAATTGGAGGATAGGCATGCAATTTTGTTGTTTAATGTCAATAAGTAGGTGTATCTATATTGCATATATAGAGAGAGAGAGAGAGAGAGAGAGAGAGAGAGAGAGAGAGAGAGAGAGGAGAGAGAGACAAGTGTGAGTGTGTGCGCATTTGTACGGGTACGTATTCTGCGTTGCACGAAGTTGCGCAAGTCCATGTCTAGGAGTGTGTTTTTGCGACAGTTGCGTGTTTGTCGTGCCCGTGCCGTGCGACTCCTCAAGGGTAGCTAGAATATGCGGGCCCACTGCGTATCGTGAGAACATGCCTGAACCATTGCATGCCTGCCAAGGTGTTGTCGCTTCTTCGACTTTGCTGACGAGGGCTCTACAAAAGCAGCATTGGAGCTGGAATGGAAGCGCTTTCCTGCGGTGGCCAGCCCAAGTCATGCATTCAGCTGGCAGTACTGAATACAATGCGAGTGGAAACTTGAAGTGGGTGCAAAGATGACTAGCAAAAGTTCTGGCACTGCTCAGGTGGGAGACTGGACAGTGGTGAGGGATGAGGGGTTTACGCCCTCCGATGTGCGGCAGGCGAGCACAGTGTTGCCCGTTCTTGAAAGTCCGCTGGAGCTGAGTATGCCAGGCTTTAGTCATGAAGATTGCATGCTTCTTGGACCTTGGGATGCAATTGACCTTCTTCAGAGTCAGTGTCACGTCACATGTTCTTTCCCGGCAATTTGTAGGGCTTACACCTAAGGAGCGTCAACCAGAAGGCAAGCCTTTGCAGGACTTGTGTCAATGTTTGTTCAGGGTTCCCTTGCGAGCAGTTGTTTAAAACCCATTTCTTGGGGGTTGTCATATCTCATTTGGAGACAAACTCACTTCTTTGCGTGGGCCAATTTGTCGGCAAACGGCTCAACAGAGCACGACGCTTTGTACCTGCTCGGTCCACGTATAATTGAGGTACCCCGGTTGTCTCACCCAGAAAGCGGGCGGACACTATTCACGCAACATGCGCGTGGGAATGCAGTCGCGGAAGGTTCGCAGAAGGTTTTGCCTCGCAAAATCTCCGCAAAAAGGCTTTTGTGTTAAGCAACACAAGTTATAAAACAAGCTGAACAACACTGTGGCTGCAGAAGCAAAAGCAACCAATACGTGCCTGCGGAAGCAACTTCAACAAACACATGCCCTCGGAAGCAACGTTTCACGCCGCGGAAGCTTGCCCGAAGGGTTAGCGGGAGTTCGGACACGTCACAAATAATTTGACAGTAAATAGCAAACCTCAATTGATTGAATGTTCCATGAGCTTGGCAGGGAGGAGTGGGAGACTGCTGGTTCATGAGCGCTCTGGCAGTCGTGGCAGCGACTCGGCAAACTAGAGGCACGATGGGGGGCGGGGGCGGGGGGGGACTTCGTTGTGTATCTCAAAATATCTAAAGAGACGTCCATGTGTTGAGGGTGATGCGCACTGGCATTGAATCCTTGCGACTGTTCTTATGATCACGTCAGACCCACGCCCCAAAGCCGCGGCTGGTCTTTGGTAGAACCATAGGCCTTGTAACTTGGGCAAACCAGTCATTGTTTCAGTAGACCTGCAAAAGCTTGAATGTTTTGCCCAGGGTGCAAAGACGACCCACTCAGAAGCTATC